AGTTAGTTTGCGCTAGGAGTCAATATTAGGCACCAGCTGCAACAATGTATGTTAAACGCTGAAAACATATTAGCACTTCCTTTTAAATTCTCCTTGCCTCTGTGAAGAGCGCTACTGTATAGTGAATCCTGTCATATTCCTGTCTGAGAGGACAGCGCTATCACAGGCATTGTTTAAGTGTTTTAAATTGTTGCAGCACTTGCTGGGCACGGTCTGTGTTTCCGTTACTAAAAAACACATGGTGGCAGTGAACGTTTGTGGGTAAAGGGTTAACTGCAGAGTTAACCAACCCGGGTGACGATTGCTCTCAGTCTGCTGGCCTGAGATTGGGTCCTGCGAGCTGTGAAATCTCTCTGCAGGGTGAGGCTGAGAGTGGTATCGCCACGTCCTTGTGACGCTCACGCCCGGTTCAGACTTGTGTATACTCACGTGGGATTGACGTACAGCGGGCCTCTTCAGTCTGTGGGCCGGGGGGCTTATCTGTATCTGGGTGCCCCATAAACGCTTTTTTTGGGGGCGTTGGGGTCCCCCCTAGAATTCCTACCAGACCCAAATGGTTTGGTATGAATTGGGAGGAAGGGGGGGGGGGGCACTTTTTATTGTTTCTGTGGAGTGTCAAAAGTTAAAAAAAAAAGTGGTACTTTTTTTTTTAATGTTGCTGCAATGAAAAAATGAGTTCGTAATTTATTTACCACATCCGGAATTAATTAATATTTCAGATTTGTTCGAATCCCGAAACAAATTGACTTTTGGGCCAGAATCCTGAAAAATTAAATAACGAAAAATACGAAACTAAACATATTTTTTGCACATGTCTATTAAAAGTAAAAAGCAGAGGATCTACTCCAGTCCAATGGTACAGTCCTGCCCATACATTGGATTGAGGTCCAGTCCAATGGTTCAGTCCTTGCCCATACATTGGATTGAGGTCCAGTCCAATGGTCCAATCCTTGGCTGTTCACTGGACTGTGGTCCATTGCAATAGTTCAGTCCTTGCCTATATTGGAAGGGGTCAGGTCCAGTCCAAAGGTGCAGTCTTTGCCCATACATTAAATTGAGGTCCTGTCAAAAGGTCCAGTCCATGCCCGTAAATTGGATTGAGGTCCAGTGGTTCAGAATTAGCTTGCACATTGGATTGCGGTGAAGTCCAATGGTTGAGAGATTGCCTGTACATTGGATTGAGGTCCTGTACAATGGTCCAATCCTCGCCCATATTGGAAGGAGTTGGGTCCAGTCCAATTATTCAGACTCTGCCCGTACATTGGGTTGAGGTCCAGGCAATGGTCTAGTCCTTACCTGTACATTGGATTGAGGTCAGTACAATGGTCCAGTCCTTGCCTGCTCGCTCGATTGAGGTACAGTCCAATGGTTCAGTTCCAGCGCTTGCCTATACATTGGATTGAAGTCCATTCCTATAGTTCAATTCTTGCCCGTACATTGGGTAGAGGTCCAGTCCAACAGTTCAGCCCTTGCTCATAGATTGTAATGAGGTCCAGTCTAATGCTCCCACAATTAATCAAGAACAAGATTAGCAACTGTTATTTTGTTATACTGCTTCAATATGTTCCACAAACAGCCACTAGGAATAGGATCCAAGGAGCAACACAATAAAGTACAAATGTGAAAGTCACATGTATAACATATCTATACTTTGTAATGATAATTGAAAAAAAAATACTTCCTTTAACAGGCTCAACACGTATTTCACCTTCAGGCAGATGGTGATAACGCCTTACAAAAAATACAGTCACCTAAAAAAAGACACATAGTAGATAAGCAGTTCAAACACATGGGCTACGCAGAGATAAGGGCACTGTGTCCGCGTTTTAACCACTCCCGGGCCACAATAGACGGCGGCCCGTTAAAGTGGTTGAAACAAGAACACGGCTGTGTCTGTACAGCTGCTGGATTGTTTGTACCGTGCGGCGCGCCCCCACCCCCCCGCTTCCCCGGGCACCGCTGTCCCCGTGCGGCGCCCGGGAGCGGAGCGGCAGGTCTCCCCGCAGTGATGGTAGAGAGATTCAGCGGCTTCCAACTGATCTCTCCTCCGATCACTGGACCCAGAAGTGATGTGTATTACATCACTTCCGGTGTCACTGTACACAGTCTCCGGCTCTTCGAACAAGGAGATGAAGCTGGGGAAGCAGATCTCTGCTTCCTCTGCTTCTTAGGGGTCTGAATGTCCCTGATGTCTCCAAGAGGACCTGTCACAGCCTATCTGCTTGTTAGCTCCCTATGTAATAGCAATAGGGTTAGTGTAAAAAAAAATGTTTGAACATTCTAAAAATGAAAGTAGCACATAAGAAAAATATAAAAAATGCAAAAAAATTAAATTTAAGGTTCCCGCCCCCCATGTGCACGCACATACACACGCAAACACACGTCGGTGCACCTATGTGCGAAAACAACAATTGCGCTACACATGTTACATATTGCCGCGAACATGGGAGTGAGAGCAATAATTCTAGGGCCATCAATCACCGTTAGCACTAAACTGATGAGCGGTAAAAGCGTTTAAAATGTTTCCTATGGGAAATTTGGGGTATTGACTTTTTTTGTGGCTTCACGGGCGAACGCAATTTTAAGGCTTGACATGTTTGGTATCTATTTACCCGACGTGACCCCGTCTTTTATATTTTAATGAAAAATTGGGTATTATATTATGTTTCTGTGCACTAAATTTTAATTTAGTTTATTTTTTCCTAAAAATACTGGTTTGATAAACATTTGCGCAAAAACCAAGCAACATAAAAAATTGCAACTAGTAATTTTTTATTCTACAGGGCCTCTGCTTTCTGAACATATATAACTGTTTGGGGGTCTGAAGCTGTTCTCTAGCCAAAAATATATATTTTATCATGTGTGCGCAAATAGTAAGAAAATGCCCCAGACAGCAAGTGGTTAAAAAATGTGCTCCAGTTTACAGAGCAGGTCGCGATGAGGCTTATTTTCACATGGCGGACATCTGTCATACAAATGTATATAAAGCCAAAAATGTTTTCCCCTTATTTTTGATATGGGGAATGCTTAAAGGAGAACTATGGGGTCAGGGCTTTTCCCCATAGTTCTCCTTAGGGTAACGGGAGGACACAAACTAGCGTCCTCCCGTCACCCTAGGCTCAGTATACCGCGGTATACTGAGACACCACAGCTGAAACGGATCGAAAAGTGAGCGAACGCCGGTATGTGTTCGCTCACTTCCCGATCTACTGAGCCGACCTGTGACAGTCTCATTGTCACAGATCGGCTACAACTATGAGGTGAGTGAAAAGCACTCACCTCATAGTTCTCCTTTAAAACCCTTGTTGGGTTTTTCTTTGCCATCTACTTAAATAACTTGGTACTTCTCCCTGCAAGTAGCTGCTCTTTTTTATAAAATGACTTTGCCCACATACAGTAGCTGTGCCATCCATTTACAAATCTGCCTAGAAGCCCCATCAGTCACTGCCAGCTTTACTGGCTCCAATGCAAAAAAACAATAAATGTACATATTTTTTCTTTTATGAAGATGTGCGGATGTATTATCATTCAAAAAAATGGACTTTACCTCTAACGGTCTCATTTGTCTTGTTATATCTTATTGAAAAGTGCAAAATATACCTGTTGATCCTGCCAGGAATCTTGTGAGCTGGCTCCATCCTGTGCTGTCTGCCCGAGCTGCATTCTTATCAGTTACACCCCAGCTATCTGTGTAAACTACAAAACACCTCTTCTCTATATTATGGGGGGGTGTTCCCGAGATTGGGCTTTTGCGCATGCCCGGCTGCCATTGTGCCCTTACACCTGCGTACAAATATGATGAGAAAGAACATGCCGAAAGGAGAAAAACGCAGAGTGATGACCTTATCAGTCTGCTCTGCTCTTTCACTGTCTAATCACAGGGTAGGGGTTAAGGAGGTGACCAGGCTGTGTTGCTTGCTTGCAGAAGAGAAAGTCTGGCTGTACTATTTGGCATGGTTATGGTAAATTTTGGCAATGGGTGGCTCGGAATATAAATCTATTGACAGGTAAGACAGCACCATATTAATAATTAGTGATGCACCGATACTGGTATCGGTGCCGATGCCGAGTATTTGAGCCCCAATGCTCCAATGTATGGCCCAATACTTGAGCTTCCGGTATCAGGAAGCCGGGCAGCGAGTCATTACCCGCTGTACAACTTTAAATATAGATGTCATCAGCACACCAGCACGACAAAACTTTTAAGTCAGTAAAATCCATTTATTGATAGATGTCACTCAGAAATTCAAGCGCTTTCGGGCCGCACAGGTTCCCCTTCATCAGGCTCAGGGAGCCTGCTCTGAGCCTGATGAAGGGGACCCTGTGCGGCCCCGAAAGCGCTTGAATTTCTGAGTGACATCCATCAGTAAATGGATTTGCACTGAGTAAAAAGTTTAATCGTGCTAGTGTGCTAATGACATCTATATTTAAAGTTGTTCTGTGTGCGGCGACATCCGCGGTCATTTCGAGCACTCCTCGACACTTTGGGATTTCCGGTAAGGAGTGCTACAAGATGTATGGACATTACACGCTGTCCGACTTCCTGATAGGCTGGGAAGCCGGCTCCATGCTCCCTTGTCACTTGCGACGAGAGAGCATGGAGCTGTCTTCCCCGCCCCTCCCCCCGTGTAATGACACATTGCCCGGCATCGACCAATCAGGAAGCCGTCATTACAGGGCGCCCGGCTTCCTGATTGGCCACAAAATTAATTCATGTCATCTGGTGATGAGGGAGCATGGAGACGGCTTCCATGCTAAACGGGAAGCCGGGTGGCGAGTCTTCACACGCTTCCCGGCTAATCAGCAAGACGGGCGGCGAGTCATTGCGCGCCGCCTGGCTTCCTTAATGGGACTTCCGGTATCGGCGAAAACCGGGGAAAAAAAAATATAGGTACATGTACACGATACCGAAAAACCGGTATCAGTGCATCCCTATTAATAATCAATATTTAATGTATAATTGATGATGTTATTGATGGCTCTTCTACTTTATTTTTCAGATGCCTCGGAAAAAGGTGATTTTTGTGGCTCTCCTGTTTTTTCCTTGTGTGTGCATGTTTGGCTTCTTCATCATGAACTATGATTCCGACTTGTGCTATTACTGCTTTCAGAAGACAGAAAATTATTTCTCCATCAAAACTGACTATAAAAGGAACCTGTTCATAAAGGTGCCCGAATCGAAATGCAAACAAAACCCTCCGTTTCTGGTGCTGCTGGTGACCACGACGCACAACCAGAAGGAGGCTCGCATGGCCATCCGAAAAACGTGGGGGAAAGACCAACTCATCCAAGGAAAGCGAGTGGCGACCTTCTTTCTTCTTGGGACCAACGCCGGTAAACCCGTCAGTTTATCCGAAGAGATTAACACCTACAAAGACATAATCCAAAAAGATTTTGTAGACACGTATTACAACTTGACCATAAAAACTCTAACGGGCTTAGACTGGATTGTGCATCACTGCCCTCAGACCCGCTACATCATGAAAACTGATACAGACATGTTTGTCAATACGCTCTACCTCATTGAACTACTCATGCGTAAGAATCAGACTTCAAATCTCTTCACGGGGATCCTAAAGCCCAACGACCCCCCTATACGTAATATCTTCAGCAAGTGGTACATCAGTAAAAGAGAGTACGATCGTGATAAATACCCCCCGTTTTGTTCCGGAACGGGCTACGTGCTCTCGGTAGATGTTGCTCAAAGGATCTACAATATCTCATTCTCTATACCATTCTTTAAACTGGAGGATGTGTACATAGGAATGTGTTTGGACAAGCTGAAGGTCCCGTTGCAGGAACTTCACTCTCTGCCTATATTTTTTGCTTACAAGCCATCATTCTCCGTTTGCACTTATAGGAACCTTGTGACATCTCATGAAGTCCAGCCACAGGAAATCATCATGTACTGGGAAGCCTTACAAATTGCACAAGAGGAAAATTGTTAACCAGTTGACATCCGCGGTGTTAAACCCCCTTCCCATTCTGGCCATTTTTCAGTATTCAGCGCTGCGGTACTTTAACTGACATTTATTCTGAACGAGCACATATAGGCGATCGGCGGGCTATGGACCCGCTGATCGCCTATATGTGTGACACCCGGTACCGGGTGTGTGCATTGTCGGGTCTTTTCTCCCGTGCGTGCCCGCTAGGGGGCGCGCGCGAGCAGAAAAAAATTGCCGTCTGGAGACGGCAACCCGCAGATGCAGCAGTGCCGTCCGTCCGTTTTTCTACTACGGGCGGACGGCAAGAGGTTAAGGAAGCTACAGTGATATCTCCAGACAATTCATACTTGAAGTTGAAATGCTTTGCCGGGAAACTCTTCCATTTAAATAGGTGGACAGGTCAACGATTGATAGACCACAGCTCATGCACTTTGAACCTTAGAATCAAGGGCAGTGTGAAATCCTGAGCCCTGTCATGTTTGCTGTGCAGAGACAAACTTCTTGGCATGGAAGATAATGTTATAGATTACTGTTCAGCTTGGTAAATATGTATAACTATATCTATAGCTTCCCCTAACATCCAGTCCAAGCTAACCTAGCCGGTTTTAGGGAGGAGCTTAGACCTCACACAGCCCTCAGCTTTTTTAGTGGACATTTTACATTTCATTGGTTGCAATTCAAGGAACATGCCAAGAAAAAAAACAATGTAATAAAAGTACAATTATTTGACAACTGCAGCTACTTACACTGCCATTGGAAAGTTAAAAGCCTTTTAGAGTTGCCTGTAAAAAAAATAAAAACTTCAATTGCCTTTCTAATTTTGTACTTTCCATTGTTCCAGACTGTTTGTCCTTTACAGAAATGGAGCTGGGGGTGAGATGGAATATCCTGTGGCTTGCAGGTCATTCCATTGGAAGGTGCAGGCCAAGGATAAACTACAACTCCCAAGCTGCCTTGCACCCTATGGAAATCGGGTGCCTGTTATTGGCTGTTACCAGCCGTGGCACCTGTGCATGCTGGCTCTGCACACAGCATTGGAATGCTGTGTTCAGAGCAAGCTTGCACAGAACTAAAGTTGTACGGGGGGGGCCTGCAGCTGATGGACATGGTAGTAGCTTGTTCAAGTATCGGCCACCGGCGCATTCCGCACGGGCGCGCAGCCATCTTAGAGTATATCTTGGTATACACCGAGATAGCAGCGCCTGAACATACGACCGCCGCCATCTTGGCGTATACCAAGATACACTCAAAGATGGCAGCGTGCAAGTGCAGAATTCGCCGGCGGCTGACATGGCTGCACCTCATTCTGCATTCTCAATGTGCGGTTTCGGATTCAGAGGCTCGTTACCTCCGAATCCGAAACAGCAGAAAAATGTGTTTTCTTTGATGGAACGAATGGAAATGTTTTTCACTTCGCCAGAAAACGATTTTGTTTTTGCAGTGCACATGTCTAAATAACACTCCCATATGTGCTTCCAAACTCCAAATCCTTTGGCATGTGTGTGGGCAGCCCTCGAATGCTACTATTTAACTGAGATCCCAGTTACATTGTAGCGGTTGACTTCTTCAACTTTGTGGCCTCTCCTGTCTCTCAGCATCTCATAATTGTCAATAGAAGGGGTGGACTCCTGTTATGGCTCCCTATAACTTTAAACTTTAAAATAATTTTAAGACTGACCGTGCACTTCAAGCAAGGTCTACTTATTAATTGTGTCCCCCTCCCCCTTCCTTAAACACTGCATAAAAGTAAAAAAAAAAAAAACAATATTGGGGAGAAAATAATTATATAGTATATATTGCCTTCTGTAGTGCAAGGGAGCGATGTCATCTACCTACTGACAAGATGCCTGGGGAATGCCAAATTGCCCAAATTCAATGAGAAGGAGCTGCAACACAGTGCAGGATCGTCTTCTAATAAGATTTGGACTCCTTGATATTCCCCCGAGATATGTCTGGACGGAGGATGAAATCTCCCTAGTGAAGGGAACGCATGACAGGGTAAGGCCTAGCCGTCTTATTACCCAACCACCCACTGCTGGCTACAGCCCTAACCCATCCCTGACAAGTGCCCATATCAAAATAATAGACCACACCAGGTTGGGTATAAAATGGCTGTAGCAGCCGTTTATTACAAAATATATTTAAATATATAACTTTAAATTCAAACATTAATTATGACGGTACTAACCGTGTGCTGGCTCCCAACTGCCTGGGCCACCCCTCCTCCTGCTCTAACCACCCTGGATGCTCCTCCTGGACAACTTGACCCAGCCAATCCCAGTAATTGACCCCCCTAACACACTCCCTTTGACTAACTTAACCCTTTCTCTTACTGATTGCCTGCCCACCCTGTCATGCCGTCCTTTCGCCTATTCTTTTTGCCTTTTGCTCCAGGACTTTCTGAAGGCACACAGGGAACATTTTTAGGGAGGGGCACCTTGAATAAGCAGACCTTGTTATTGAGGTGCAAGGTCCACTTTAAGGGCTAGTGTACATAGGCTTTTAACATGTAATAATGCATTGATCATGTGATTCCCACGCATGCTCATTGCTTTTTATTCTTTTATAAAAGTCAAAGCAGACATTGATCTCAAACTGATCTTAACATACTGTATGTAAAAAGCCCATGTACTCCCCAATGCAGGGCGGGGAAAAAACAGCACGCTATTTTTGTTGTCTGGTTTATAAGACCCATTTCACACTGGGCTACATCAAGCGCTGATTTGAGAAGAGCGACTTTGAGAGACATTGAGTTACAGTGCACATATTGTCACGCTACGTAGCGCTACTTTTGGCATGGACTTCGTAGCTGCTAAATTGGGCTGTATCCAATCAAAAGCGGTCTTGATGTGACAAAATTCCTCTTCCTGTTTCCTGCTTATGTTTCTGTGCAAAAATGACACTTCTTTATCGTATGATAATCGGCAGGTGTATGGAAGGCGTGCGACCGTTTCTACTGTACGGTCGCACCTCTTTTGTCTTCCGAGCACGCTGGAAAACCTGCCGAAAATCGTAAAATTTTCGGCGGGTTAGTGGCGTGCTCGGAAGACAAATGCCGAACGGGCCGGTGTGTGCAAGTGCACACTGCCCGCTCAGCATTGCAGTCATCGGAAGCCATCCGCTCAGCGGGGGGTGGCTTGCGATGATCGCAAGTACGATCTGCCTGTCCAAGGTGGGCAGATCGTACGAGATCTTAATTACCTTACAACCATCGCACAGCGAAAGTCGTGCGATGGTTGTAAGGTGTATGGGCAGCTTTAGAATTGGGAAGAGAATCTTTTCATATTTGTATTCCTTTTTGTGTCCCCAAAGGGGAGATTCCACTCCACTTCCTGCCCAGGTCAAGGGTGTCAGACAGAACAAAAAAGAAAGAAAAATCTCCCCAAAAGGGACACAACCAGTATTTAAAAACTGACAGAGGATTTCCCACTCCATCCATAAAACAAGGTTTTTGGTGGAGTTGGGTTTAAATGCTAAGGGTTAATTCACACCGGCCACAGTGCATTCCAGTCTGATTGGGGCCAGAACGCACTGGATCGCATTGCGGCCAGGTCACTTTGTTATGGGGCAGGAGGGAGCGTGCCGGTGCATTGAAGTGAATGGCACCGCAGCCACGCCCTCTGGCCGTAATGCAATCGTCCCCCTCCCCCCCTTTCCTGCCCTGCCGGGCCAGTGCTAGGATCAAGGGTCTGATAGAAATGTTAGGGGGGACCCCAGGTTTCCCCCCCCCCCCCCTTTTTTGGGGGCGGGGGTTCCCCCTTAAAATTCCTACCAGACCTAAAGGGCCTGGTATGGATTTTGGGGGGAACCTCACACACTTTTTTTTTGTTTTAACTTGGGGGGGGGTTCCTCCTAACATTCCTACTAGACCTAAAGGGTGTGGTATGATTTGGGGGGGGGACCTCACGCTTTTTTGTCCACCCTTCTGTAGACTAAAAAAGTCAAAACTCAAATGTCATTTTGCTGCAACAAACGAAACGAAATTTCGACCGGACTACCGCTAATTAATTTTTCCGAATCCAGAAACTAATTGAATTTTGGACCCGAATCCCGAAAAACGAAATAAAGCAAAATCTGAATCAAAATGAAACTAAACAAATTTTTTGCCAGTGCACATATCCAAAGGTTTCTACTTAGTTTTTATTACTTTTCCTGATTCTGACCATGTTCTGTCTATCTATCTATCTATCTATCTATCTATCTATCTATCTATCTATCTATCTATCTATCTATCTATATCTACCTATATACCGGTACATATATATATATATCCCAACCATAATAACTAAAGATGATGTACAAAACCACTACACATTTCCCTTTAAGAAGATGTTGTAAGCTTCTGGCAAAAAAATTGGTATCATTAGAAATACTGGAAATTAAGAAAAAACAATCCATACCAATAGGTTGGTAAAAAAATAATTGTATGGCACAAATGTGAGCAGCTGCTAGCGTGGGTTTTGATTCGCAACAGTGTGTCCGGTATTGGATATCCAGCTTAGAGCAAGGGAGAACGGAAGAGAGGAATTAGTGTTGATTGGAGAAGTGTAAGCTGGTATTAAGTGAAATATTCCGGTCTTATAAGATACTTCCGTGATGACCTCAGATTTATTACAGATCATTCTGTAACTGAGGCAGAGTTTAGTCTTTGACTTTGCTTTTTTTATTGATTTAAAGGAAACAATTTTGGATTTGATCAATTTTATTTTACTTTTTTTTAAAGGTTTACCATTTATAAATTGGTGTTTATATAATGTATTTATTTATGATTTGTATATAATCCTTATTTTACAAACAAGCATCTGAAGTAGATGTAATGCCATTTTTCTATAGTGTCTAGTTACATTTGATTGGGCCATTGCATGCATTGCATTACTGCATGCATGATATGGCAAGTTGTGTCACACTTCAATGTGTGCTGCCAAAGCACAGCAACAGCCCACAAAATGGCCATAACCCTATTTATTAATGCATGGCATGTGCAATGTTGCTAAGTATAAAAA